GTGTCTCCAGTGCAAGGGCAAAGAGACATTGAATTAATGTTTTCTGGCATCAGTGGACAGTGGCATTTTCAATGCAGGCAACCTCAATTCCATTGCTTTTCATGGAATTAGTACAAGTGTGATCTGTTGGGGCTGAGGTCTCAAACAGTAGAAATTGGTGCTGTTCCATGAAAATCAGTGAATGTCTGTTTGCAGAGGATCAGAGGAGTAGCTTGTTGCTTTTTTCCCTGCAGCCTGCTGGTATTCCATCATTTTGCTCTGCTGTCTTTTGTCCCTGACATCCTTTGGTGACAGTTCTGAGCGTGTCTGCACATGCTAGGAGATGATGTGTTACCCTCAGTAGTATGTCTTCCTTAATCCAATATTAGAATTGCCATGGAAACCTCTTAGCAACATGGAAGAGGAAAATGGAATGAGAAAGGGAAGATGCAGTCAACTCAAATGAGAATTCCAGGGGCAAAAACCCCCCAAACCACAGAAACCTACTCGCCTTGGGAAAACACCAGCAACCAAACTAAACTGCATCTGAGAAGTTCAGTTTTCAGATTCCAGGGTGGATTATCTCCACCCTTTTTAGCGTGCTCCTTTAAGATGCTCTGTGGTTCAGGTCCCCAGCCTATCTTTTAGTTTTAACAACAAACCCCCTTTACTAGAAGCTCAGCTTCAAGTCTTGAGCCTGGTTTTTATTTTAGCTGTGGGAATTTTATTCTCAGTTCCATAGAATACATTGAGCAGTGAGAAATATACATTTATTTTCCCTGGGAATCTTCATTTGTATCGGTTTTAGGGAGCGGGGGGGAGCAATTGCAGTGCAGGGCTGAACCAAGGGTCCAGCAGCCCTTTGCCCCAGGACAGAAAGCACATTGAACTGAGGGAATTATTTCATAGAATCATTAGGTTGGAAAAGACCTTTAAGATCATCGAGTCCAACCCTTTACTCGTCACTGCTGAGTCCACCACTAAACCATGTCCAAAAGTGCCACATCTACTCTTCTTTTAAATACCTCCAGGGATAGTGACTCAAGCACTTGCCTGGGTGGCCTGTTCCAGTGCTTGTTAACCCTTTCAGTGAAGAATTTTTGCCTAAGGTGTGAACTAAACCTCCCCCGGTGTGACTTGAGGCCATTTCCTCTTGTCCTATTGCTTGGTACTTGGGAGAAGAGACCGACTCCCACCCCACTACAACCTACTATTTAGGGGATGTTAGGGGGATTTTCCCCCCCCCCCCTCTTTAGGGGTGTTTTGGGATTTAAAAACGTGCAGAATCTTATCATTCTCTAAAATTATACTCAGGAGACTGTTTTTTTCAACAATAACTTTTAAGCCTAAAGAACAGGAAGAGCAAGAGAGCAGTATCACGTGTGCTGACTGCATTGCCTATTATATGCATTACCTGGAATTGATTTGATGAATACTATCACTAAGCAGTACCAGTGACAAACAACTGTTTTTAGGATGTTTTGACTAACAAGGAACTTGAGTCAAGAAAAATCTTTTAGCAAGGGATGTAGATGGTGCTGACCCTTCTGACCTGCTGGTTTGTTTGTTTGTTTTTTAATTTATTTAAATCAGTAGTTAATCTGGTCTGCTCCTTTCTTAGCAGGGACATTCTGTGAGAAGAGGATGCTTGTCATCATCTGAACCTGTTGTATCACACTGTTTGGTGATATCCCACAATAGACTCTGGGCAGTGTTCCAGAAAGAAAACTCTCAGACATCTCCCCAGTTTTTAACTTTCCTGATTTGAGCTTGGTACGTGCACATGTAAGAAGCCAGATGTGACCAGCTTCTTTATAGGATTTGTGTGTGAGGGGGGCAAGAGGAGGAAAGAGAGAATAACAACCCCCCCCCCTCAAATGATAAGGACAGAAAAGCCCCACAAACCATCCAGAAAAGCCCTCAAAGAAACAGGAAAGGTGAACAGGGTTAACAAGCGTAAATTGCCCAGTGAGAGGCAGGAGAGGAGTGTTATCTCTGTATACTCAAAAGGTGTTCTGTGAGCCTGAGACCACTGGAAAGCCAGGAGAGTATTTTTGTGTGGCCACTGTCTCTGAGCTGTGGAGGGGCTGGAAAAACACAAGGGGATCCTGATCCACAGCATTTCTGGGGGTCCTGTTCTAGCTTCTCCTGTTTAGTTTGTAGACATATGGAAGACAAAAGAAAAATCTTAACGATAATAAATAGTATGGAAAGAAATATATTGGAGCATAACAGTGAGTTTTGAATTCATTACTCTGATGATCAGAAAATTCTATTCTTTATCTGCATACTTTTGGGAATATTAGAAAAGTAGTCTAAGCTAGTACAGCAGAGATAAACATCTGGCTTGTGCTCGTGTAAAACAAAAAATGTACATCAAACAAAGGCAGACTTTTTTTACCTTTTGTTATAAAAAGGCCAAGCCTCAGTATTAATTGAAAGAAACTGGACAAATAATGAAATTTCAGTGACACATATATCTCTGCTTTTAAATAATAGTCCTCCACCCACCCCCACCCCACCCCAGAACAAGAGATGAACAACATAAGGAACAGGCACCATATCTTTTAGTAATCGCTTGTAAAACGCTCTGGAAGAAAAACCAACACAATTAGATCAGTGAAAATTTGCACATCCCATGCGGGTGCTTAAGGACAGACCCTGACACAGAGCTCAAAGCTAAAAATTGCCAGCTGCCCTCAAAATAGCTTCAGTGTGAGTTTCCTTGGAAAGGTACCCTGGAACAACCTTCCCCTTGCAAGGGATGAGTAGCTCCGAAGTGCAAATGCCAGGGAAAGCATGACAGAGTCATGCTGAAGGTTGGACAAACCCCCTTGTCAGACAAACAAGGGGAAAAAAAAGGAACTAGGAGGTGTGAGGAAACAAAAAAGTGCTGAATTAACAAAATGTGAGATAAAGCACTTTTCTGCTTCAAGTATCCTTGACTCTATAAAACCATCTCGGTTTCCCTGCCACCGGCATTTGGAGTCAATTTATTCAAATACTAATCTTATAAATGGAAATGGAAATTTCAGTCGTGTACGATTGTAAATAACTAGGGTACTGCAATCTGAAACATATGAAATACTAAGCAACATACTGTCATTTCCTGCAAAAAAAATAATAGAAATCCTAACTTGAGCATGAAAGTCTTCCTTTTAGAATTGTTCAAAATTTAACCAGTGGGTGAGATACTATTTCTTAAACTTATTTGTAAGTGAAAGAAGAGTCCTGACCCTGATGCCTCGAGGAGCTATAAAAATAATAAATATTAAATCATAGTCAGAGTCTGCATAAACAAGTACATCTGTCATTAATTCATAGCCCAGAAATGGTTACTTGCGTAAATAAAAAAAAATAAAAAAGAGAAAAAGACTAAGACGTAAAACAAAACAAAAAGCCACAAAACCTGATGAAACCCATATGTCCAGCTAGAGATTTTTACATCCCTTCACATCACAACCAGGCATTGTGTTGGGTGTACCAGCACAACAGCAGTGCTGTGAACTACCTGAAGCAGGTGGATGCCTGAAGGAGGCTGTGACCCTGTGGGAATCTCACACTGGAGCAGGCTCCTGGCAGGAGCTGTGGAAAAAGAAGCCCAGGCTGGAGCAGATTTGCTGGCAGAGCTTCTGGTCCCATGGGAGGGACCCATGCTGGAACAGCCTATTCCTGAAGGACTGCACCCTGTGGAAGGGACTCATGCTGG